CCATCTGTATTCTCATTTACTAATAATGTTCAGTCACTTGGGATCATATGGACTATGTATTATCCTCAGTTTACAGATGAAACATTGAGATGCTAAAAGGTTACTCCTTGTTATCAATAATATTAAGCACCTACTAGGTGCTAGAGTAAGTAAATCTTTGCTGCTCAAAGTCCTCTGCATGACAGAGACACCCCTGTCCCCTGGATGCTTATCTGACGTGCAGAATCTAAGCCTGGATCTAATACATCAGTCTGCATTTTACTGAGACCTCCCCTGCAAGTGTGTCCTGTGTGCATTAAAGCTTGTGATGCACTTGCTTGGTAATAAGTAGCAAAACTAGGGCCCTGGCTCAGTGGATTAAGTGCGGGCTGTGAACCAAAGGGTCTCTGATTCGATTCCCAATCAGGGCACTTGCCTGGGTTTTGGGCCAGGTGCCCAGTAGGGGCCATGTGAGAGGCAACCACACATTGATGTTTCTCTCCCTCTCTTTCTCCCTACCCCTCTCTAAAAATAAATAAATAAAATCTTTAAAAAACAAACAAACTAGGACTTGCCAGTGATCATGATAATAAAAGTAATAGGAATAGGTGACATTTATTGAGCCAAGCACTGTTCTAAGCACTGTGTCTCCTTTCATCCTCACCGCAGCCCTGTGACGAGGTAGTGTTGTGTCCCCCCTTTCCAGAAGGGGATAGTGGAGGTGCAGAGAAGTCAAAGAACTTCCCCAGATCTGCTGGCCCCAAGTCCGTTGTTCTTTCTGCCACTCACTTGTGCATCTGTCTTTCAGGTGGGCAGTAATTTCTGATACTTTGTCAAAGGCCTTTTTCTCTTCTGTACATGGGTAACAAATTTTAAAAGATTTTATTTCTTTTTCAAAAGGGAGGAGGGAGAAAGAGGAGAAAGAGGTGAAAAACATCAATGTGTGAGAGAGACATCAATTAGTTGCCTCTCACACGCCCCCAGCTGGGAATCTGGCCCGCAACCCTGACCTGGAATCAAATCAGTGACCTTTTGGTTTGTGGGACAGTGCCCAACCCACTGAACCACACCAGTCAGGGTTGGGTAACAAGTGCTGATAAAAGAAAGTGACTTCGAAGAAGGAAGAAATCAGGGGAAAAACTCTTGAACTATTTTAGTGTAACTGTAGGTGTCAGGTACTTGACTGATAGGCAAGAACATGCCCAGTTTGTGAGATGAGCTACCTGTCACACATCTTAGCGGTCTCACTCAGGGCAGAAACCGCTGAAGCAGGCAGGAGCTGTGGGCTTGTCTTCTGAGTCTGTCAGCCCTGAACCGTTTCTCGATTCTGATGATAGTATCTCCGTTGGGTAAGAAGAGAGTGGCTCAAGTCCTAGACCATCTGCTGACTAACTGCAAAAGGTTCAAGTGCTTTCCTTTTCCCTCTCTGCCCTGTGAGCTCATTGAGCCATTCAACATCTCCATATCTCCTCAGAGTCTTAGAAAGATTTCTTGGTCAAGGCCTATGCCATCCAGGAAATTCTGGTGTGAAAAGGCAGGGGAATGGGTGGAGGCATGAAATCTAATGGCAGTTCGGCCACTTGCTGTGTGATCTGGGGCACGTAACTGAACCTCTCTGGCCCTCAGCTCTATATATGCAAAATCTGGACATGGGCCAGTCTTCCACGTTCTTCGAGCCCTTCCTAAAAGACCCAGCTTTGAATTGGATAATACTGTCTTCTTCCTTGGTGACTTCATGCTGGGCTTTCTCCCAGACCTTCAAGGGCGAGGCTTCTAGAGCATATTTCTTGGCAGTCTGAGTTCATCACAGGCAGTTCATCTTTTCATCATCACACATCTGCATTGAAACATGGGATGTTACAGTTTAAGGTTCAGTTAATCATGGTGACACCTTGAGCTCTTCATGCACAGGCAGAGCTCTCTAGCATGCTGATTTACCTAAATTATAGTTTGCATTTGAGAGCACCAGTAATCATTGTGGTAGGTGTGGTTTTATTTTTAAAGCTTTTGGCGAGATATTTGCAGCACTTGTGTTTTGTCACATTTGAACATCCGAGTCACGTGTAAATGGAAGTGGGTGCTAGTAAGAGAAATTGTAATGGATTATTGGGAGTTGCGACTCGACCATCTTACCTCCCAGGGAGTCCTTCATATCACCTTCAACGGTGGTTTCAGGAAGGGCTGGCTTTGGGGCTTCCGTGGGTGACATAAACAGAAGCTAAAAGTTTTTAGCACAGTCTCCAGTAGCTTAGTGGATTGCAGTAGTTGTTACTTTATATGACATTTCAATAACCGAAGCAAAAAAAAAAAAAATCTAGCTAGTAAACCATAAAAGATTCCACCCAGGTAAGATAAAATATCAGCTCAAGTTACTTAAGATAACCGTAAGAAGAGAGTTCGTGGTGGAAACACTGGTTTTGCAAGATCTGCAATAATAAGTCAGAATCTAGTCTAAGGAACACACAGTGTTTTCCCTTTCTTGTTTCTTTAATTGCCAGCATTTTTTAATACAATTTTTTCCTGATCATTAAAACAATGAACTTCCTTTGAAGAAAATTCTGAAAAGATTAAATAAGATTCACGTTAAGCTCCACCACCCAGAAATAACCACCGTTAACATCTTGCTGGCCAAAGGCAAATACATTCCTAAATATATTTTATCTTATGAATGTGCAGTTCTTATTTTTCCTTTTGTTGTCATTTAGGCTACTTTCAATATTTAAGTGTTACAAATAATGCTATAGAGAATATTGTGATAATTATCTTTGCATAAACCTTTGCCTACATTTCTGATGATTTCTTTAAACTAGATCCATTAATTGTTAAAAAATTTTTAATTACGAAGGCAGCCCCCTTAAATACCTTAAATACACTGCTTTGGTAAAGTGGTACCTAAGGTTGGAGAGGCAGGCGTCATTACGGTTTTGGGGGGAGGGATTATCTGTGAAAATGGTGTCCTAATTCAGATTCAGCTTGCTTGTTCACTTGAAGGTCTATTTTTAGATAAAGGTACTCAAAGTGTAACTTCCATTTTTGCCTTGTAAACATTTACTTAACGTTGGATAACCATTTCCCATGTTCTCATGTTTAGTAATTGTGAACTAGTAAATTTTTCCTAGTATTGGGCATTAAAGTTATTTCCAGCTCTTTCTTTTTTTCTTTTTTATTTAATTATTGTTCAGGTACAGTTTTCTGTCTTTTACTCCCATCCCAGCCCCTCCCTCCCCGTGTTTCCAACTTTTCATAATCTCGGAGTGCCAGAGTGAACATCTTTGCTTCCCTCTCAACCTCAAAAGAGAACAATTCTAAGTAAATCATTTGGGAAAAGTTGGAATTCTAAAAAGTTCTAATGAAGAACTGTACATTTGCCTTCTTAAAATTTGATCTGACTCTTCTAAAAGTATCTTTAAAAACACAGCTTTTTTGAGCTATAGTTCATAAGAAGTATCTTTCAGTAGTTTTTCTTGGGCTTCTCGTTGCTTCTCCTTAAAGTATTTTCCTTTTGATACAGCATGCCCCGTGTGTGCGCCCCAGAACATGGGCCTTTCACATGTAAGCCCCGTCATTCTCTGAATAGGCCATTGGTTGGTGACATTAACCAGAAGTACTGTATGTACATTCTTGGTTTGGGGCACTGTGTGAGCTGTGAGAATAAGCATATCATTATGGAATTGGACAGTGAACTGTGATGGTTCTGGTGGACTTTGGGAGAGGGCTTTTAAAAAAATATTTAGCTCATTACTGACATAAATTCTGTGATTTGTAGGGAATTCTGCTTGATCAATTTTGGGAACTATTTACTGTAGAAGGGGCATATGTGTAGACAATTTCTTCTAGACAGAGTTTCTTAGCATTACTGCACACAGATCTTGAGGGCTCTTTTTTTTTAAGAATTTATTTTAATTGACATTTTAAGTATTTTTTTTCAAGAGCAATTTTATTTATTTATTTTTAGAGAGAGGGGAAGGGAGGAAGAGAAGGAGAGAAACATCCATTGGTTACCTCTCACCGGCCCCCAACTGGGGGCTAGCCTGCAACCCAGGCATGTGGCCTGATGGGGGATCGAACCAGCAATCTCTGGGTTTGGGGGTTGAGGCCCAACCCACTGAGCCACACCAGTCAGGGCTCCAGGGATTCTGATAAACTGGGATTTTGATTTTGGGGATCTGGTTGGGGTTAAAATCTGCAGAGCTAAACCAGGTGGGACAGGAGATTTTAGGGGACATCCAGACACAACAGGCTGCATTATATTGAATAACATGGTAAGAGTTATTTCCTTTTAATTTCTTTGGTTCTTTTGACTGTGTTAGGGAGAATATTTGCTTAGTTCCAGTCTGTTTCTTAACACTTGCTAAGCTGGCCTTCTAACCAAGAGAGGTTAGATCTCAGCCTTAGGGAAGCTGCAGTATCTAGCTAGAATTTAGTGACCTTTGTGTCCTTATATTTATTTTCACAGTTACCTTCTATTTGCAACAGATGATACCAATATTCCATTCCTAATAGGGATATAAATTTACTTTTTAAAAATTAATTTACGTTGCCCTGGCTGGTGTAGCTCAGTGGATTGAGCACGGGCCTGCCAACCAAAAGATGGCAGTTCGATTCCCAGTCAGGGCACATGCCTGGGTTGCAGGCCAATTCCCAGCAGGGGATGCACGAGGGGCAATCATACATTGATATTTCTCTCCCTCTCTCCTTCCCTTCCCTTCTAAAGATAAATTTTAAAAACAAATAAATAAATTTGTCTTAAAAGAAAGTAGCTTTTCAGAAAAGCCTCACATAAATAACAGTGCAGGTGGTGCAAGAGAAGACACAACCCCATGACTGACATTTAGGACCTGCTGGTGCAGAAGGAAAGGCCGTGAACTTTGGAGCCAGTTAGACAAGGTTTCTGCTTACTCTGCCACTTATTAACTCAGTGTGCCCTCTTACTTCCCTCTCCAAGTCTGGGATTTTTTTTCTCCTGTAAGTGGAGTCAGATCAGAAGCACTTCCTGTGGGCCAGGCACTGTAACGCTTGTCTTAGTCCGGTCCTCGCAGGCGCCGAAGTGTGGGGCGTTGGGTTCCTGCTGCACGGAGGAGGGAATAGACTCAGAGGTGAACTTGCACGGAGTCCTAGAACGAGGAATGGTAGGGCTGCGTTTCAGTCCCACGTGTGTCTGAATCTTTTCATTATTCTAGGCCACCTCCCTCTTTTAAGTATAGGCTTTACTGTGGCCGTCTACCCAGCTGAATGGCAGTCTAATTACAATGAAAAGTCATCACACATGCCCATGTTCACTACAGCATAATCCACTATAGCCAAGAGGTGGGAGCAGCCGAGATGTTTATGGGCAGGTGAGTGGATAAAGAAAATATGATATATACATGCAATGGGATATTATTTATTCTTAAGAAAAAAAGGAGATCTTGTCACTTGCTATAGCATGAGTGAACCTTGAAGCAGAATAATGGCTTCCAGGGCCTGATGAGGGGGAAGTAGGAATTGTTATCTGGTAGGTATAGAGTTTCTGTTTGTCAAGATGAAGAAGTTCTAGGTATCTGTTGTACAACGATGTGGCTATACCGTATTTTGCCGTGTGTCATGCGCTCCCATGCATAATGTGCACCCATGTTTCTGGGCACAGGATTGTTATACCCATGGTATATAATTAGTATACCATGTATAATGAGCATCCTTATTTTTCCCTCAAAAATGTGGGCAAAATAGCCCTGGCTGGTGTGGCTCAGTGGATTGAGCACTGCAATGTGAAGCAAAGGGTCACCGGTTTGATTCCCGGTCGGGGCACATACATGGGTTGTGGGCCAGGTTCCCCAGTGTGGGGGCCTGTGGGGGACAGCCACACATCAATGTTTCTCTCCCCCTCTTTCTCCCTTTATTTTATAAATGAATAAAATCTTTTTTAAAAATTAGGGCAAAATAGTGTGCATTATACACAGCAAAATATGGTGGTTACCACTACTGAACTGTACACTTAGAAATGGTTAGGAGGGTACATTTTATTTTGTGTGGGTTTTTTACTATAATTTAAAATTTCAAGAAATGGTGATGGAAAAAATAAGCAAAAAAATAAAAAGAAAAAATGTTTTTCAAAAGTTAACAGAAAGAAAAGCAAAGCCATTGGTCAGGGCAGGTTTTTTTCATTATGGAAAAATCTCAGCGTACATGAAAGAACAGTGGATTGAACCGTGAACCCATTACCCTGCTCCAGCAGTTATCAGCTTGTGGTAATTGTTTGCTCTATAACCTCCCATCTAGCCCACCCTGCCCTACCCCTGGTCCCAGCCAGCATATAACTTTATCTGAAAATACTTTTGTATGAATCTCAAAGTAACAACCTTCTTTTAGCTCTGACCAGCGTGGCTTAGTGGGTTGGGCATAGTACTGCAAACCAAAAGGTCAGTTCAGTTCAGTTCAAGTTCAGGCACATGCCAGGGTTGCCAGCCTGGTCCCCAGTTGGGGGCGTGTGGGAGGCAACCAGCGGTTGTTTCTTTTACACATTGATGTCTCTCTCCTGCCTCCTTCCCCTCTCTCTAAAAATAAATGAGAATAAAATCTTTAAAAAAGAAACTTCTTTTAAAAATACAGTTTTTACACCTAAAGTGTGAAATTCCTTAACACCATCTAATAGCCAATGTTCAGATTTCCTTGATTGTGTCATGCATTTAAAAATATTTTTAATTGGTTAATTTATTTGAGAAGGGTGGGAAGAGAGATCAGCTTGTTGTTCCACTTTCTTGTGCATTCACTGGTTGATTCTTGTATGTGCCCCGACCAGGGATCAAACCTTCAACCTTGGAGTATCAGGATGATGCTCCAACTAACTGAGGGACCCGGCCAAGGCCTCGTACATTGTTTTAACAGTTGGTTTGTTTGAATCAAGATCAAAAAAAGCATCCCACTCTAGGGCCAGATTTTGTATTTGGTCGATTAAGCCTCTTAATCAGAGGATACATTTTTAGCAGAGAAGCAACTTCATTTCTTTCCTGGACTAGTACATGGAGTGAGAAGTTCCTGGCAGGAAGGCTCTTCCAGTTTCAGAGCATGAGCTCTGTGCCGTGGTTGTGTGGGTGGCGGAGTGCACTGTCAGGGGAGATGGTGCAGCCTGGGAGGGGGAAGATGGCGCCCTCCGTCCACAAGGAACATGTATGCATTTGCATGTGTGGGAATGGATCCTACTAATTACTCCCACGTAGCTAAACATATATGTTTAAGATATTCACTGCAGCATTGTTTGCTGTAGCAGAAGATCAGAGACCATCAGAAGGTCCCTCATTAGTTAGGGGACTAATTAAATACATTGTAAGACCACCATACTATGGCATCTGGGCAACTGTTTTAAAGGCGAGTGGAGTTGTCTCTAAGATCAGTCAAACTGGATGGAAAATGGTGCATAGCGGACTCCCGCTTGGGTTCAGAATGCGCAGGAGCAGTGCAGCTATGTTACTGCTTGCATATGCGCTGACTTGCTCCCAGGGGTGGGGGGAGAATGTCCTCATTCGCTGTAGACTCACCCATACAGCTTCAGCTGTTCTAATCTACGCATCTATTGATACATGATATATATATGTACATGCGTGTTTTTAAATAAGTTTATATGTGGGTTTTAAATAAGGCAAGCCTGGTTTTGAATCCTGACTGTTCTATTTAATTGCTGTGTGACCTTGGGCAGATTAATTCCTTTGAACCTCCCATGTTTATTTTTAAAATAGGGCTAACACCTATTCCTTCTGAGGTGATTTGGAGGATAAAAGCTCCTGATGTACTGTGAGTTATATGACTAATAAATACAACAAAACCCCAGACCGACATTGCTTCTGAATGAGAATTGTCCTCTAGACTTGAATATATTTTTTATGAATGTATTCTATGAATGATTCACAGCGGGATACAGAAAGGGATTTCTTTCCCTCGTTTTCCTCTTTGATAAATGCTTTCTTTGTTTGCCTGTTTCAGTCATCAAGGGAGAGGACATGGCATCAGTTTGAACTCAGAGCAGGCATATATTTGTTCATGTTTCTTGTCTGTGACCTTCTAGGTCTCTTTCCAGGTAAGTAGCCTGCCTTGCTAAGGCACTTAAGCTGAAATCAAGCTGCTAGACATTTTCCCCAAAGAAAAAATAGCTTTATTGCCATCTCCCCACTTGATATTAAGAAACAAAATACACGCGTCTATTAAAAAGGCCAGAGGAAGCCAAAAAATCACTTTCGAGCTTCCTCCCAGAGATTTGTATTGCTTGCATTTCCTGAGTTTTTATTAGACATTTTGAGCTAGGCTAAGCATTGGACATTTATTAGCCTGTTTAGTCCTTAGTTCTTTAAAGTAGGTGGTGTTATTCACCCATTTTATAGAAGTTATGACTTAGGTAACTTTCTCAAAGTTTTATAGCCAAATGGCAGAACAGACACTCAAACACTGACCTGTTAAACACTGAAGCTTGTGCTTTAACCCTGATTTACATGGTTTCTCCGCCTTTCTCTGCAGATTTCCCCGCTAGCTCTCTGTTTGGGTAGCCTGCTTTTCTTCAACAAAATGCCTTGGACATCTTCCCAAATGTGAAGACCTAGAGGTGTACTGCTATTCTGATGACCGCATAATTTTCCATTGTGTAGGGATGACGTGTCACGATCCAACTGGCCCCTCACCGATGAGCATTTGAGAGGTTAGAGGTGGCTCTGTGATCAACATAAACAGGCACATACATTTTATACACATATTCAGTTAGTCAGTGATGCCCTTAAAATAACTCCAAGAAATCGAATCACTGTTTCAAGGGAGTAATTACATTTTAAGTATTATACTTTATTGTTTTAGTATTAATTTGGCCAAGTGCCTTCCAATAATTTATAACACTTTGAGGTGCTGTGGTTCTTATGTATACTGTAAAAAGGCAGTTTGAAAGTTTTTAGACAATTTGCACAACTGCTTGGCTTACAAAAAAGATGGCTTTATGTTTACGAACAGTGAACATAAAGTGAACAGACTATTTTATTAGTCTGTTATTTTGACGTATTTGCTCTGAGGACCTTCTCAGACTGAGACTGCCTGACATGCTGCACTGGTAATTAGAAATATAAGGACTCCATCGCTATAGGCCTCGTCAAAGCTCTTTTTCTGAAGCTTCACCGTAAAGTTGAGATAAGTAGTTTTACTCCTAGGGCCCTTGGTTCATCATTAAAAAAATTTTTTTAATTTAATCTTTTTTTAAAGATTCTATTTATTTATTTTAGGGAGGGGGGAAAGGAAGGAGGAAGAGAGGGAGAAAAACATCAGCTGTGGTTGTCTCTTGTGCATCCCCAACCAAGTACTTGGCCCACAACCCAGGCATGTGCCCTGACTGGGAATCGAACTTGGAGACCCCTTGGCTCACAGGCCGGTGCTCAATCCACTGAGCCACACCAGCCAGGGCTAATGTAATCTTTATTATATTTTTTTCCATTACCATTTGGTCCCCTTATGTCCCCCTCCCCTGAGCAATCACCATGTTGATGTCCGTGTCCGTGAGTCACTTTCTCCTTTTTATTCAGTCCCTCTGCCCGCTCGTAGCTCCCCCACTAGCTGTCCTCCTGTTCTCCCTCTGTGAGTCCGTCCCCATTTTCCTGGTTAGTTCAGTTTGTTCATTAGATTCCACGTATGAGTGAAATCATGCTGCATTTCTCTTTCTCGGACTGGCTTGTTTCACTTAGCATAATGTTCTCCAGGTCCATCCATACTGTTGCAAAGAGTAAAATTTTCTTCTTTTTTTTATGGCCAAGTAGTATTCAGTTGTTTTCTTTGTTCATCATTTAAAACATTTTGTATTACCTTATTTTCATGGTGGTCAGTAAAAGTGGACAGAGGAAAATGATGACTTTTCACACCTGGATGTTAGTATACTTAATTTCACAAGACTTTTCCATGCCTTTTGCCTTCTAATTTTATTTTGCTGCCTAGGTAGTATATTCACGAATCAAAACACAAGAAGGTGCAGCGGGTATGCAGCAAAAAGTCTCCGTTCTACTCCTGGCCCTCAGCCACCCAGCTCTCCCTGCAGACCGCCAGTGTTGTTGCCTGGTCCGTGTGCGTCCCTCCAGATGTACTTTGTGCACGTATAGAACTATTCTCTCCACACACACGAGTCCTTGTAAAGTTCTGCAGGGCAATGGTGTTCTTTTCAACTGGAGAGTAACAATCTTGTTTTGAAAATTGTATTAACTTCCATTTTAGTAACTGGCCGTCTTGGGAAGCAAGGACTCACAGTTGACTGGCTGTCTTGGTGTGGTTCTGGGATTGCACACAAGGAGCCCTGATACGACAAAACAATTAGCAATGGTTGTAAAAGAAAGTGGCTTTGTTG